AAACAAAGGGAAAATACTCGTGCAAAAGCTGGTAGGTGCATGTAGTTGGGCCAGTTGTGCTATTTGGACCAAAATAACATTATTATCCAAAAGCTTTCTCAGTGCACAGACCTGGCAGCAGTGGGAAAGGGTTGGAGTGGTGAGAACCCTGTTGGTTGCTGGTAAACCACCCACAAGCCTTTGCAGCAGAAAAAAAAATCCCTATCATGTCACATGTGCCGTAGGTAGAAGCACATATTGTGTGAATGCTAGAATAGCCAACTATACACTGCCTGTCCAGTGAACAAAAATGCCTTTCCTCTTGAGCTCTGGGCTGCCATATTGCCTGTGAGCTTACTTTTGCCTGGATTATGAACCTATTTCCCCAGCTTTACATCACACCCATTACCACAATCAGTGGCACAGAAGTGCCACCTTTGCCTCTCTGGTATCACAAAACCCTTCGTTCAAATTGGGATACTACTGACCTGGCACCCTTAACTACGAATGGTAGCCACTGCATGTACAGATTATGGCATCTCACCCTCTCACAATGGTTGCTAAGCAAAAACTGTAGATCTCCAGTTCTCTTGAAGAGTGTTTAGCTAATGAGAGAGTGATTATAGCACAATGTCCTCCTTTTGTAAAATCTGCTTGGCCAGAAAGAAGCAGTGCCCAAGTTAATGGGGCACAGAGGCATGGGTTTCCATCTGTGAACTTGATATTTCGCCACAAATGTTTTGTGTCTCTAGCATGAGATTTAGGAAAATGGTGTGGAAATCATTAGTCTTGTGAAACACCATGTATCAGATTAAGTAGCCTCTGGTGCACAAAAGCCTGTGCCATGACACATTTGTTCATCCTTAAGACACCACCAGAAAATTTACTGATTTTCCTGCAGCAAACTAATGTGGCGACACCACAGGAATTGGATTTTTCCGGTGTTTTGAGTCTTCCTGACATCTACCTTTACTACTTCTTACCTATTCATAAGGAACTCTGGGACTTATATTGCCTGTTCTAGAGAAGGGTTTGGGGGTAGTAACTTTTGAGTGTTGCTTGTTCTGCCCCAATGCTGTGAGCTGCTGACTTAGCAAATCTGCAAAGAGCTTGATAGAGATGCAGGGAAATACAATTTCATTACAATGCTCAAGCATTGTCTTATTTGCCCCCTCCCCCTTGCGGGCCATAGAGTTGCAGCCCATGCCGGGAGGGGGGGCCCTTCTGGATTGCTGAGATCTGGTAAAGGCTGCTCTTAAAGTCTGGATAGAAGCCATGTTCTTCTTTCTGTATCTTTTCATATCTATCTGCAATTTGCTACTTTACAGAGTCTCTCGCTGATCTTCTTCCTACCACCCATAAATCCCTCATCAGGTTGTGGACTCCCCATTTCGGCAGTCCCAATGGTGTCTGTATGAAGCCAACCTGCACGTACCTCATTGTATTCTGTGTGAACATAAAACACCGACAAGTGTTGCCTTCAGTGGTGTGGAAAGTCCTGCCCCACTTGATTTGTGTGGAGGAATCTCCGCCTTCTCCCAGCCTAACCCCCACCCCAGTTTTCAGAGTGTCCCCTCATTCTCCTGCCTGTGCCAGCCGCCTCCTCTCCATCCTGTCCTCCCCTGCCCTCCCCTTACATAAGCCGCACGTGGCGATGTCACCGGCTTGGCCCAGATTTCTTCTGACAGCAAGCGTTTTCCACACGGCTGGGCTTGTGATGCTGCTGGAGGAGCGGTGGTGGGGGATGGGGACCCCAAGTAACCCCCCTTGACAAAGGAGCACCTAGCCCCCACCCTTGTTGTTAGTGTTCTTCAGAGAGAAGCTGATTCCTGGGGCCTGGGGGTGGGTGGGAGAGATATGTGTGTTTGTGTTTTCTTCAAAGTGATATGTGCCCTTGCTTTCTTCCTGCAATATGGTGATATCAAATGGAGGGGGAGGATGCTGATCGGGATAGGCCTGTGTATCAAGAATCACGGGTGCGAAAGTGTATTTCAGGGATGGGTCTTTCGGCACCCAGTTTGCCAGCTTCAGCGGATGGCTTCTCAGCTTTGGCAGTTACAATACATAGGGTGGGGGCAGGAAAAGGTTTATATTTCTCGCCATATCATTCTCACCTGGGCCCAGGCTTATCTATACCACAAAAGGGCCAGCGGGTATGCATGGAGTACCTTTGAGGCGTTTCCCCCCTCTCCCCCACACTTATGTGTTCACTCCTTGTCCCTGCAAATCTGTTCCAGCTGGATGAACTGTGTTTGGGCTCCAGATGGAACCAGGAGTGCCAGTTGCTGACGGAAGTCTGGAGGCTTTATGTCCCTGTTAGCTGGCTGAAAGTAGAGGCAGATACTGTTTTGGGGTTGGTATGGCTCAGTGCCCCCTTTAGAGGAACCTCCCTTGCCACATTTTAATTCCTAAATTCTCCATAATGAAAACTAGGAAGAAAATGAGATGCAGCCAGTCAGATAGGGTGGCCACTACACTTCACCAAAACGGAAGGTGAAAAAGAATTTCAGAAGTGCATATGCTGATTTATCTGGACAGGTGCAAGATCAGCAATGATTTTTAGAATTTAAGTAGAATGACAAGGTATCTCACTCAAGTGGTAAAAACTGTAGTCAAGTGATTTCTATCCCTGCAAAGTCTCTCATCCAGGTGCTGTTGATTGTTGATGTGTGGCTTCAGGGTCCCTGGTCCTTGCTCCCAAAGTTATTTTATCTTTACATCAGATTTTATGAGGTAGACCTTCATCTTTACATCAGACTTTATGAGGTAGACCTTCAGATAGAGGATGCTTTGAGAAGGAAGTTTGCCCTTTCCTGGCTTCCTCCTTCAAGTGGAGAACTCCTCTCCAAAAACAGGACATATGGCCACCCTCTATTTGTAGTTCTTGTGTGATTTCTGAGGGGGAAATCACTATATTCTAGAGAAATTGAGCTAGTCATATGTTCTGTAGTTTGACAGAGGGAGGTGAGCTCACAAAGTTTTCTGAATGTCAGGGAGTAGTCCTACAGTCTAAGAAGTAATGGTGGAAGACTTTCGAGCATATAAAGAGTGTAACTGAATATTCACAGCCAGAGACTATATCTGAGATTAGGAGAAAGGGCTTCAACTGAAAGATATGGCTTTTAGGGAGGCTCATGCAACAAGATCCAGGCGATTGATTAAATGAGATTTACATACATGTTGACCTACTATTCAGTGGATCTACTCTTATGTGGGCCTAGCAATAGGATACTGGCCCTAATGGATTTTACCCTTCACTCTGTCTGAACCCAGTATCTAGCTCACAGGGATTTGCTTGCCCTCAGATTATTGCTGGGCAGGATTGGAAGGGGGCATTAGCAGACACATCTGGCAAACATGTGGACCATTCCTGGCTGCTGAGCACATAGTGTTGATGGATGTATGGGTCTGAGGGGGGGGTGGGCTGCCTTGAGAGAGAGAGGTATGGTGTATCTGTCTCTGCTTGCTGACTTGTTTGTTTGGGGTAATTTTCCTGGCTTCCTAAGTAGAAATCCACATTTTTCTGGCTGCCTCTCCTTTCCAGGAAACAGTGCAGAAATATTGGGGAGGCTGCTTTTAAAACTCCTGGGGGATGCTGGACATGGGTGGTGGTGGTTTCTATATGTTTTTTTAGCCCTGTAAGGTGTGGTTAAAATACTGTGTCCAAGAAAGCAGGACTCTGGGATGTTTGAGAAAGCAGAGGCTTGTATTATAGAACAACACAGAAAATCCTTAATTTTACAAAGGGAGCTGGATTTAGGACACAGCCATCCGAAATCTTCTAATCTTTCCATTGGCACCCAAAATAAAATGTAAACTAGACAATTCCTATACATCACAGTCAGTCTGGCATAGTTAACATACTGCTTTTGTGCTTAGTAAGTAATGTATGTTTGTAAGGATCCACAAGATATATCAACCAGATTTGTAAATAGCCCTTCATTGGGTTACATGTTGGGTTACATTGGGTTACCTAGTCTTTGCTCTGTGAGCCACAGGTGGGGTTTGCAAGGACATTTCTGTACTTTGTGAGATGTAGCATTATGCGTGTTGTGTACCTCCTACTGTGTTCTGGACAAAAAGTACAGGACATAAAATAGATTCTTGTTGAATTAGTGGCAAGGGATTAAACATGTTATAGCAGAATATTTATTTTAATTTTTTAGTAAAATACTATTTAATATACTGTATATACTGTAGGTGGAAAGTGTTTGGTGCTATTTTAAAAGATGGGAGAACATTCCAAAAACAGTAGAGGTATAATGTGTAGGGATAGGATCAAATACTCTCTCGCCTACAATTTTGGAGCCCTGTTGCCTTTTAAAAGATGGAAAATAGATGTTAGCTGTTCAGACTGTCTTACAGTTCAATTCATACAAAAAAGTGGGGGGGTTCCTAGCAATTTTTTTAAAAATAGAAAAGGCAGCAGGGAAACAAAAATAATTTGACGATGCAATGTAGATGTCCCATTAAAAAGTGAGTGAAAATCCAATAACAATTTGAGAGTGAATACCAAGAGCAAAAGCATCGTACACGGAAAGCTAGGACAATTTACTTCGGAAGAGATTTGGATCCTTTCTTCTTCCAGAACACCAAGCATGTACTGGTAAAGTTGGCTAGTAAAAATATTGTGGCCTAATAACTTGAGTGGATGCAGTTGCACACTGCTGTGAAATATGTGCCAGCAATGTCATTCCTGTTCCCATGTCCTGTTACCACGATCTGAGTGGGAGTGGGAAGGTAATTAAAGGGTGTAACAGGTAACAGATACCTGCAAAGTGAGCTTCAGAAAAAAGCTGTAGGAGTGAGAACTAGGACTCGAGTCCTTTTGGAGCAGAGTGCAGTGCTCAGTATATAAGAGGGTAATGAAGATGGTGAGGAGCTTTTTTTGCCCTCTCTAAAAGAAGGCAGTCTGTGAGACAGGATCTGGGTTCTTTCTCTTTTAATTTCCAGTTATTTCCCCTCTTGGGGGGCATGGAGAAGACAAACCATTCTCTGACACCAGCAAATTTATTGCAGTGTGTTTAATAAACAAAACAAAAATTAAAGATCATTGTTACTCATTTCTTATTGTTCTGGGTGATGGTTATTTGAATATAGGACAAGGGCCTTTTGAAGAGAGGAATTCTTTGTGATCTGGATGAGAAGAATATGCAGGGGGTACTCCAGCAGGATCTGTTCTCCAGCCAGCTGCCCTCTGCCTGGGCCCCTCTGCTCGCTTCAAAGGGTCCCGGAGGCCTTTTGCTTTGTTGGAAAAGATAAATCTGCCACTCTCCCCCAGCTTGGTTGGGAAGGAACTTGAAGGCTGGGCTCCATCAAGACTGACAACTGGCTTGCAAGTGTAGGATGGAGTTCTAGCAGGGTATTTTAATTTGATAGGGGAAGGATGTCCCTCTGGCTATGATCCAAGAAGGCTCCAGCAGCAGCTTGTGGGGTGAGGATGGAACAGCATTTCTGGCCTGGAGGATGATTGTGTAACCAAGCAAAAGGATTTAAGTTAAAACAGGACAGATCAGCAATAGGCACAAAAACTGCACACTTGGGCTTAATTAAGAAACAGGGTTGCTTGCCTTTCCTTTGTTTCATCCCATCCACCTAATTCTTCAAGGATACTTAATATATTTACAGACAATCTGTTATTATATTTGTCATTTACAAATACGTTATTATATTTGTCATTTTACAAGTACAGTACATTGGTGCAAGTGGTGGGTAAGGTGAATGGGGCAATAAGAGAACATACCGTGGCTGAAATCCTATTGGTGGAGCTGTACTGTGCAACGACAATTATGTCATCAGCCATGGCTGTGCCACAGCCATTTTGGGGCAATAAGAAAGTTCTTAGTTGTTACTGAAAACCTGGAGTCCCACCTAGATTACGTAAGGGTGGTATGTATCCCACTGGCTACGAACCACTGCCGTAAAGGAGGAATAAATTATTTAGGAATTGCCTCCTATTATAGACTGACATAGTACACCATCCTAGATGGATTTAGAGGAGGGCTAAGAGGAACTGGCTTCTCTCAACAGCCAGAGGAAATCTGTCCATCTGTGTTCCTCTGTCAGATAAGCTGGTGCATCTGTCCTTTGGGTGAGAAGTCACCACTTCATAGCATTGCTGTATCAATTGTTGCTGAAGCAATTGATGTTTTTATACTGTGATTTCCTTTGTCACAGAATTTTACAAAGAATCTGGAATGTGCATGTCGAAACGTTGAGATGCTTGTTTTAAGAAAGGCTGAACTATAAAATATTTTCTGGGCCTCTTGATAAATTGCAAGCAGTATCAAATAACTCTCTTAGAAGGCAACTGACCGTCTAAGATCCATACAGCTAGGTACACAGTTTCCCATATATTTTCCCCACATTTATCTTACATCACAACTTATTCACAGACAGATAGGGATAATTGAAAAGCACACTTGCATGCATTTGCATGAGACAAGTGGGTTCAGCAGAGCACCAATATGGTAACTGTGAACTCAGAGCCTTGCATATCTCTGTCATCTCCCACATATGCCAATCTCATATGACCCAAGTTTAACCAACAGGGCAGCAACATTGCAAGTTAACAGCACTGCCTTTTAATGCCCAGTACGTAATTTGTCAGTATTTATCAGAGTGTGTCTTGCTAATGATTCAACAAATTTGAGGCCTTCTTAGGTTGTGTCAGCTACTCTGAGTTCATAATTAGTTACAGTGCCCTCCTTGTGGCAAACTAACTGGCCAAATGCCAAATTGCAAGCACCAGCTTCTTTTTCGTACACTATAACATAAAAACATGATGGAAGGCAACTGAGACTGTATTAGCTAAGATCATGGAAGAAAAAGCTGTCAGACTCCAGCAATATGATGGCAGTAAGGTTAGTCTTACTCCTGACTTCATGGAGCAGCATGGACAGAGAACAAAAGCACATGGTTGTCAAGTAGACCACAGACAGGTTGAGAGAAGTAAGAATGAGCTGAAATGTACTCACAGTGAGCTTTAAGCTTGTCCTGTGGAATGTTGCGGGAAGCCAAACATTGAAGGGAAAATACAGCACTGCCTGTATGGAAACAATTCAACACCTTAATTTAAAAAAAGGTTGAGGGAAATAGCTTCCCCGTATCTTGCACTCCATGTATTGGGACTGAGAGTATGTGAGGTTGTCATTGCGCTCTAGTTGGATCAAAACACAAATTGGCAAGAGCCCTCTGCCTTTCCTGGCAAAGATTGAGGACTCCCTAGTGACTCCAGTTGTACACTTTGAAAACCATTACACTAGACCTGAAGTTTTCCTCGAAGGAGGGAGGGATAGGGTAGAGATGATAGGATAAGATTTCCAGAATCGTACTCCCAGTCCCCATTGCTCTAGTGTAGATGAACCCACTTAAGTGTGCTGTCCTCAGGAGACAAATGGATCTGGTAAACTTCCCTCTTTCCCAGTGATCTTGACAAAGCATCTCCAGTCTTAATTAAGACACAAGGATCGGTTTCAAGCCAAATCATCTTTGTTTCCTCCCCACACTTCAACACAGTCCCCTATGCCCAGAAACTCCCGCCTGGACTTCAGGCCATAAATCAAGCCTGGATTAAAGTAAGAGGAGAGACTTCCCTCTTTCTGCTTCTCCTCCCCCACAGATCCATTTCCGGTCCCTTTCTGGCAATTAATATAACTGGACAACAAGGAGCTTGGCAAGGGAGAAACACAGCTTTCACCATGATTTCTCTCTCTCTCTCTCTCTCTCTCTCTCTCTCTCTCTCTCTCTCTCTCTCTCTCTGTGTGTGTGTGTGTGTGTGTGTGTGTGCGTGCGTGTGTGTGTTTGGGCCCAAGTGGGGTTTTGGCTGGGAGGGGGAATGGTAGGCTGCGGAGAGACAGTTCCTCCCTGCCTTCTGGCAAGGACAGACAGATCCACCCCTTAGACAGTCTCTCGTTGCAAGAGAAAACTTGGCTGTAGGATAGCTGAGTCCAGGCCTGATCCAAATTGATTTCCCATATTTATATATGATAATTGGGGGTGGGGAGAGGAAAAATGTATTTTGTTCTGAATCCTGGAATGAATCTGAAGTTGTGAGATTCTAACTATATCCCTTTTCACCAGACCCCCTCTGTCACAGAAGCTCCCACCCCTTTTCAGTACACCGACACATGTATTTTTTAAAAATTAGGGTCTGGTTATAAATGCATTGGGACTTTTTGCTGGAAGCCTGTGCTGAAAACAGAAATTCCCTTTGTGAGTGAGGCTGCTTTCTTCTTGGCTTGGGAATGTCTGCTGCAAGCTCTACTGCCATGTTTATCAAGCCCCCTCACTGAGCTGACAGCAGTGCTGCATTTCTTCACAAGCTAACTAAATTTCAAGTTGTAGTAATGCTCTGGGGCCTCTTAAACCTGGCACAGATAAGCACTTGAGTATGTCTTACTCAGGCTCTCACTGCCATGCACGCTCTGTATGAGTACCCATCTTCAGTCCCCACCAGGCTTCTGTCCCCATATTCGATACTACTGTATTCTGCTTTAGATACCATCCCTTGACTTATATTGCACCTCTGCTTCCATATCTGTTCTGTTAGTCTCTGGATTTGAGATGCAAGTAGCGTAACACTCTAACAATGCAGTATTTACAAAATGATTTGGAAACTAGGTCACATGCCACTCTTATATTTGAACATTTTAATAGGAATATTCATAGTCCACTCCATGTGTTTCTGCATAAGTCACTAATCCAAATTAGTCTTGTGAGGAAAGAAGAAAATCCAAAGCAGTTACTCATACAGAGATACAACCAGTAGCCTTGTCTGAGAGCAGGTAATCCAGCTGCACCTCTCCACTAAGAGTGACTGACTGATCCCGTGCAAGGGAGAGACATGCAAAATTGCCTGCTCCCAACAGAGTCCAAGTGGAGTCAAGAAAGACCACAGCAGTAAATGATGCAGATGCAGCTGGCAGCCTCCTCTGTGGGTGGAATCTCTCAACTTGAAGGAGGCTTTAATTAATATTATAGACCAATATAGTACACCAAATTAAACTGATTAATTTTTCACAGCACATTGACAGTTCTCTCACATTGTTATTTATTGAAATACTGTATATAGTCCAGGAATGAAGTAGAACGCAGGCAGATCTGGAGGAACTTATTTATTTAATTGTTGATTACAACTCCCAAAATCCTGCTGACTGGAGATTTCTGGGAAATCAGAATACTGTAATAATGCTTCCAAGCTATGAGCAAATATTATGAAAAGTGGTCTGATTCCAACACTTTATTACAGTCAAAAGCAGCAACATTCTCCACTAGTCAAAGCTTCTGAAAAGTTTTCAGGGGGGCAGTTTTGTGTAGAACATGGTACAGGAGCAGGACTGGGTAAATACTTAAACAGTCATAAGCACTTCTTCTGATTTTAAGTGACTTTGGGATTTCGTAACACAGACTAATTATGTCTAAAGAAGAAAGAAGTATTGAGAATGAACTGCTGCTTCGGAAAATTAAAAAAACAAACAAGACCTTTACATTTATAATGATCAAAGCCAGCTCATCAGTATTATAAGAAACTTTACTTTTTGTGCTGCAGAGAAATGCCTAAAACAAATTGACAGAGAAACCACATGGGGGTTTTAAGCCTGGGCACCATGACCCCAAATGGGATGAATAAATCCCTTGAGTTCCTGCAGTCATGAGCTTACAGCTGTTTTTCAATAAAGCAGAGAGTGTGTGTAAAGGTTTTGCAGACATATGGCTTATTAGAGTCAAACTTTTAGATTCAGTATTATTTTATACAAATGATTTGCAAACATCTACATTTCCTTTTAGATATTGCCTTAATCAAAGACATTAGTAAAACAGAATATTTTATTTCAAAATTTATCTTGTTTAGTTACATGTGCCCCTTAGTTGGGATTATGTTCTGCTTGTTCATCAATAGATTTTACTTTCTGCAGTGATCTGTGTCTAACAAAAAATAACCAACTAATTAATTAATTAAACAATTAGCCAGTGTAGTATACAGTTACTGCTGGGCTAAGCAAATGGGGGTTCAAGCCCCCACCAGGTTATGAAACTCACTAGTTGACCTTGGACCAGTCAAATTGTCTCAGCCTAACATGCCTCACAGGTTTGAGGCCATGTACATCACCTTGAACTCACTGGTGGAAAGGTGGGATAGAAATGTTTTTGAAAAAGCAAACAAAATATTCTTGCAAATAAAACTTGTACTGTCCACTTTTTAAGATCAATTTCTTGATGTTATATATTTCTATATAACGTATTGTGTGTATACTGGTCAACCTGTTGATATGGGAATGATGTGAGTTGTAATCCAACCCATCTGGAAGGCACTTGGTTGGGCCTTGATGTAGAAGTAGGGAAGACAATGGAAAGTGAGGAGTTGAATGTGGAGGAAGGGAAAAGAAGGGAATCGAAGGGGAAAGAGAAGATTGTAATCTGTCTCTAGTGGAAGAGAGAGAGGGAGAAGGGGAGGAGGAGTTAATTTTGCCTGTGTGGGAGGAGGATATAGGGGAGCAAAGTGGGAGGAGACAGTTCAGTGTGCCAAGGAAGGAGAAAAAGAAGGGGAGGAAAAGAGGGGTGAGAAAAGAGAATACGAATACTGTATGATAGAATGCGCAGGTTGTTGGAGGACTTCCCTAATTTGAAGGTAGGCGGGTTGCTATCTGACCTGGACAAGTCTAAAGAAAAGGGGACATCAGCAGAAGCTCTAGAATGGACGATCGTGGTCTTTCCGTGTGGACAAGGTCACTCAAGGAAGGTGTTTCGGCCGGACCCTTCCTTCAACCACCCACCAGCAGAGGGAGATTGGGCCAGACACCCTTGTTCTGGGACAATATGTGCGGTCTGGAGTGCTCCGTTGAGGAAGCCCACCGATTGGGAACATTTTGGGCCAACCCCTCAATGAATCCTATCAATTTCCAGACAGAGTTATCGTCCTCACAATTTGGACAGTTACCAGATCTTAGTTGTTTGAACCAATAGAAGTCGTTCTAGACTCACCTAATGTTAAACTAAATAAATCTATTAACGTTCAAAAAGAGATTCATTTGTCATTTCCCGCCAAAAAGGAGGAACTGCTTCAGATCTTTAATGAACCCAATCACAAACCACTTGTATTTTTAGTTCTGCATGTTTTCTTCACACTGCATTTGAAGTAAGGCTGAACAGTAGAAACTTTAAAAGCAAATGGTACTCAGACTATAATGCTCTTATACATGCTTACCTGGAAGTCTAATTAACTTTCTAACTTTTACACACTATGATTGTAATAGAGCATTTAGATTTTTTTTCAGCATTATTCAAACACTGGTGAAAAGATGAGTAATGTTCATTTTACTGAGAGGTGAGTCCACAGCATAGATGGGTTCGATCCTAAACCATTTAGGCCAGTGGTTCCCAAAATTGGGATATGTTACTGAATTTCAAATCTCTACAATTTCCAATGAGCAGTGCTGACGATGGTCAGGGCTTGTGGGACCCACATTTGGGATCCTAGTCTGAAATCAAACATTTCAGGGTAAGAAAGAGCCCAGCTCTAAGATGTTTTCAATGAAAGCATTAGTGGGAATAGTGCATTTCATTTAACAGTGCTTTAGCCTGCAGTCATATACAGCAGTTGCCTCGGAATATGTTCCACTGAGCACATGAGAATAATTTATAATTAGGTAAACACAGTTTATTACAGTACAGTACTTCCAATTTGATAAAGAACTGTACTGTTATAATTTCAGGAGTATTTTGCTTAAATTATTTCAGTTATCCTTACACTAATCTTGTAGGGCAACTTTGCTATTAGCTTGCATAATGATGGCGAAAGGTTTGGTTGGGAGAGGGTAATTTTTAAAAGGCTAGATGTAGAAGAGGTAGCGGTGTCAGTCTGTGCAAGCTTGCTAGGTAAAAACAAAATGGGGGGGGGAAGAAAAAAAAAGACAAAAACTTGGTGGCATTTTAAAGACTAACGTTGACATTTTTACTGTGACTTTTCGTGGACGAGTCCCCTTCATCAGACATGAAAGGCTACTTCGTGCGGGGATTCTCTCGTAATCCTTACACATCGGCGTTCGAACATGGACATCCCCCCCTTAGAAATTCTGCAGTCCCTTCCTAGGGATTGCACCTTCTCCTTGGGGGGGGGGCGCAATCCCAGGCACTTTTTAGCGGCAATTTAAGCTGAGTGTACAATTCGCCTCCTTGAAGCGTTAGGCTGCGTTGTCCCGCGGCAGTCCCGAAGCCAAATGAATGGTCCGATCCTGTGCACCTTCAGTAGGAGCACACTTCTGTTACTTTACAAAGAAGTCTTGCTGCTTTCAGCGGAGTTCACTGCCAGGTAAGCGTGCATTGTGTTACACTGAAAAAACGCTCCAAGGGTCTTTTTTGTTAGTCGTTAAGTCATGTCCGACTCTTCATGACCCCATGGAGCAGAGCACGCCAGGCCCTCCTGTCTTCCACTGCTTCCCGGAGTTTGGTCAAAAAGGGCTCTTTTCCAGGGTATTAAGATATGGGCTAAAAGCGGGTTCTCCGTCTCCAGCAAAGGCAGGCACTTCAAAGCATTATTTCGGTACGAAGCTCTTTCC